CATACCCCAAGAGAAAAGATATTATTGCATTTCAGCAAATAATTGGAGCATTTGTAGTTTTAAAATGTACTTAAACTCCCATAGGGGGGCAATTGGTGGGAGAAGAGAGAATGGGATAAAATCTAAATGGAAGTCCATTATTATAATTTCTTAATAGCTACGGGCATTTTCAAATTGATAAGTGATCAAAAGAAACGAACAGGCAGTTTTTTCAAAGAAAGAAATTCAAACTATCAATAACCAGATGAAAAAAATGTACCAAATCATTACTAATTAGAGAAACACTAATTAAAGCAACTCTGAATTCGCAAAGTTGACAAAAAATGAAAATGACAAATGCAGGAAGGGTTAAGGGCGAAATGGCATACAGGTGCACTAATGGTAGAGCTGTAGAGTAGTGTAATCATTTTAGGAAGTTTGGACCCACCCCCCACAAAGGTACTAAACTGTATGTAACCTTTGACCAAGCAATACCTCTACTAGGCCAGTACCCCAAGGAGATCAAAGAAAGGGAAAAAGAACTCATAGGTACAAAAATATTTATAGTAGCTCTGTTGATAATGGCAAATAATTAGAAACTAAAGGAGTATCCACCAATTGCAGAATGGCTGAACAAATATGAAATATTTTAATACGAAAATATGAAAATAATGGAATGGTATTATGCCAAAGATGAAAGTGACAATTTTACATAAACCTGGGAAAACTTGTATGAAATGATACAGTGAAGTTAGCTGAACCAAGAAAACAATGCATAATAACAACATTGTGTATTAAAAAAACACCAATTTTGAAGACATCAGAGCTCTGATCAGTGCAAAGACCAATCCCAAACCCTGCAAAAAGGTGATGGATTCAAGATGAAGACTAAGACATACATTTTTGGACATAGCCAATGTGGAAATGTGTTTTATTCAAACATTCCTTCATTTAAACCTGTATTAAATGGCTTCTATGCATGAGACTGTGTTGGGATTGAAAGAGATGGAAATATAAATAAGAGAGGGTCACTGCTCTTGAGGAGTTTATAATCTAATAAGAGAGATATGTACAAACATAACAATAAAAAATAAATTTATGACAAAGAGCATAAGAGGGGTATCAGACTATCAGTATAAAACTCTCAAAATCTCAGAGGAAACTTTGGAGATATTTGATCCACATCTAGATTAAACTGATTATTCTCTAAAAGTGGAAAGGGCTATTCACTATTAGATAAAATTTTAACATGAAAGTAACTTATAGTTCGACAGAATGCCTGATATATAGTAGGTACTTAATAAATGCTTGATGACCTTACAAGAATGTCATTTCACATTAAATATGGTCAGAGATTTAGAACTGGAAGGGACCTACAGGTCTTCTATTCTAGACTCCTGGATTCCCCCCATTTTATAGATTAAGAAAATGAGACCCTGACAGCTAAGGGGCTAGCCCAAAGACACACAGTCACCAAGCAGAAGAGCGCACATTTAAACCCAGGTCCTTAACCCCAAATCATTGCTTTCCCTATTACACCACAGATGTCAAGGTAGGTTTACACCAATACACTAATCCTCACAGTAGCTTCTGAGCGCTAAAAATATTGTTGGGGCATATCACAAAAGGGAAAAATAATTCTCCAAAGGAATACAGTCAGATGAGAGAGGTGCAAGAATGCCTAGCTAGTTCTGTTCTCCCAAGTTCTAGACTTGAACAGTTTCCTCATTCTAAAAGGTTAATGGAATACATTATGGCATTCAAGCATGGCAGCTCTTTGGCAACTTAACTCAGAGGATTTTTCTACTTCACAGAGATGCTACTGAGAATGAATAATAAGAGTTATAAGCCAGGTCTGGGGTGAGGTGAGGAGGTGAATAAATAGAAGGAAAATGGTATTTCAGCTCTTTTCCAAAGGACTTCAACTTTTAATCCACTCACCAGGTGTATTAAAAATTTGGCAAATGGCTCGATACAGTCACTTCTCCCAATATCCTTGCTCCCTCGCCTCTATATCAAGGGTCTTTAACCTGGAATCCATGGATCCCCAAGGGATCCATAGATAGATTTCAGAGAGATTGTGAAATTTTTTAAAAAAATTTTTAATAACTATATTTCAATATGATTGATTTCTTTTGCAATCCTGTGTATTTTATTTTAGTCATTCGAAAACATTATTCAGTTTCCCTGTACCACAAAAGAAATCCATGTAACACAAAAAAGCTAAGAACCCCTGCTCTATAACATTTTTTCTCCTCTCTTACCACCATAAGTCTTTTCTCTTCTGGAATGAACAACTGGGTAAACTGAGTTATGATAGACTGTGAGGTCCTTGAGAGAAGGGATTAGCTTTTTTGCCTTTCTTTCTATTTCCAGCCCTTAGCATAGTGCCTGCCACATAGTAGGTGCTGAATAAATGCTGTTTGATTGATTTTAAAAATCATTCCCAATAGCTATTTTAAAGTATTTGAAACCTTTAAAAATAATACCATGTACATGCTAAATACAGGGAGATGATTTTACTGGTTGGTTTTTTTTTCTGGTTATGTTTATAGATATAACAATAGGAGTCTGGTTTAGAGGGCAGAAACTGAGATAAGACTTAAATTTCCTGGGTTTTCCTTTAAGGTCTCCTGAACGCGAGACATCAAGGATGCCCAGCCCTTACTCTTTTGGTAAGTCAGAAGAGGCTTCCAAGATGCCTGAAAAAGAAATGCAGGCACCATACATAGTCTTAGGTATGAGCACCAATTTTGGAAAGAGTTCTACAATCTGGGGAGAGGGGGAGAGCGAACATCTGGGAACAAAGCCTCTTTTCACATAGTTTTGGTCTTTCAGCTTTTCCAACAGTTGCCAAGATGGGAGAAGCAACGGTTAAACAGGACTTGGGCCCATCAAGGGCCCATTACCCTTTCTTTACCTAAGTGCCACGAAGCTCCTTGGTGTTCCTTGCCTTCCCTTTCAGAGGGGAAGCAGAGGCAGGAAGCTGCCAGACAGCTGCCCAGGTGGGAATGCTTGGTGGCTTCTAATGAAAGGCTTCTGGCTAATAGGGAGAAGCATTATCACTGTTCCGGTTATCACCATTCTACAGCATACTTTGATCTGATGCTCTATAATCCCAGAACAAACAAAATAGCTTATAAAGAATAGTCTTTAACAAAATTTCAGGTGGAGAAAAACATACTACCTCAGAGTTCCAACCCTCCCTCTACCCTGAGAAAAGCATCTTAAAAATCTAGATGTTAAATGTCTTACCCTACAGGAAAGCAGGGGGGGAAGGGGATAAGAGAAGAGGGAGGGATAGAAGGGAGGGCAGATTGGGGGAGGGGTAGTCAGAAGCAAAACACTTTTGAGGAAGAAGAGAGAGAACAGAATAAAGGGGGGGAATAGGATGGAAGGAAATATAATTAGCAATAGTAACTGAATATTTTTCTTTTTTTTCTTTTTTCTTCTTCTCTGATAAAGGCCTAATTTCTCAAACATATAGAGAACTGAGTCAAATTTATAAAAATGAAATGATAAAAACATATGATCAGTTTTCTAATGAAGTAATCAAAGCTATCTATGGCCATATGAAAAAATACTCTCACTACTATTAGAGAAATGCAAATTTAAACAATTCTGAGGTACTACCACCTCATACCTATTAGATTGGCTAATAGGACAGCAAAGATAAATGACAGATGTTGGAGGGAATGTGGGAAAAATGAGACGTTAATGCATTGTTGGTGGAGTTGTGAACTGATTCAACCATTCTGTAGGGCAATTTGGAACTATGCCCAGAGGTCTATAAAACCATGCATACCCTCTGACCTAGCAACACCACTACTAGGTCTGTATCCCAAAAGAGATGAAAACAAAAAGGAAAAGGACATATAGGTACACAAACATTTATAGCAACTCTTTTCTGGGGGCAAAGAGTTAAAAATTGAGGGGATGCCCATCAATTGGGGAATGGACAAACAAACTGTGGTAAGTGACTATGATGGAATATTATTGTACTAAAGGAAATGATGAGCAGGATGCTCTCAGAGAAACCTGGAAAAGACTTACATGAGCTGATGCAAAGTGAAACATGCTGTGTACAAAATAACAGCAATATTGTAGAATGATCAGCTGTGAATGACTTAGCTGTTCTCAGCAATACAACAATCCAAGACGAGTCTGAAGGACTTATGATGAAAAATGCTATCTATTCCCAGAGAAAGAACTGATGGTGTCTGAATACAGATTGAAGCATACTTTTTACTTTCAAAAAAAATCTAGATGTTGAAGCAGGGGAGGAGAGAAGTAGTTAAATTTTCATGGTAGCAAATTTTCTCCTATGAAATTCATGGATTAAATTTAGCTGAGGCCAGGTGATGACTATAATGAAATTAAAAATGCCAAGATAAGGTACTTTCAGAAGGAACATGAAAAGGGGAAAAAAAGATTTCCTGGCAACAAGTACATATGGTGTGACATTTTCAGGATGTTTTCAGATTAAAAAAAATAAAGTCTCCTTGGCAAATAAAAATAGTTTTGGTTGAAAAGGAGAAACAAAGGTATAAGATGATGTGAGTGTAGTAAAGGTAAAGAAGGTAAATATATTAGCTATAGAAATCTAAATCATCAGTAGAACTTTGTTTAGAAAAGAAACAAATCCCTAAACATTAAATTTTTCTCAAATTAGAAATAAAAATTTCTTAAATTTGCATATGTAGAATTTTCATAAATATGAACTTTGTTCATAAATATAAACAAAGGAAAAGATTGTCTTTAAGAGCAGAAGTTCTGTTGTTAAAAGAGTAATGGAATTCACCCCAGATATTCATTTGTTCCAAACAACATGTGATGAAGAAGTTAGGATCTATTTATCCCAAGATCACAGACAGCTCATCAAAAATTATCTTTAGGAAAAGGAACTCTACAAACCCTCCCCCCCAAAACTGTGATTCTATTTCTGCTCTTTGCTACATATTTAAATTTATAAGATCAGTCTGGTTCAGGCGGGAAGTGTCTCCTTAAACTCAGCACCTTACCTGATCGATAACGTTCATCCCGGGACCCTGAGGACCTGCGGCGGTGGTATCTTGAGGAGGAGGAGGGGGTAACAGGAGTCCGGCGTTCTTGTGGCAAGGCCTGATCCACCCCTAAATTCAATGGGAAAAGGAAAAGGTAGATAATTGTGAGGATTCGCTTGGAAGAATTTTCATGGAAATTGCAGTTACGCCGATTTCTACAGAAATCAATCATACTTATCCTGTGATCCAGCAGTAAGAAAGCATGAATATAATTCCCATCAGCCAAACAGGAGTCTGAGAAACAGAGAGGATGAGAGAATTGTGGCCAACAGCAGTGCCCAATTGGCGGGTAAAGAGATGGTTAATTTGAGTACTGTGGAAAACATACTTACTAAGGATAATAATATACTTAAACTTAAATAAAAATATACTTCTCACCACCTAAGGGCAGTGGGGAAAAAAAATACAACAGAGTATCCTAGTCACACATCACAAAGATACCTAATAGCAGACTTCTATTTTAGATGTTTAGTAGTCCTTCTAGGCATTTGAAGAAAATGTAAATGAAGGTACAATGAACAAAGGAAATCTATAATGTCAAGCCAAGGAATAGGAAATACAAAACATAGAGATAAAGTTTTCTTCTCTCTCATAAGCCAAATATAACTGGTTTTTTTAAATCTATAAGAAAAACATCTTTTCCAAATTATGTATAAATAACAAATACATTATTTTTTAATATGAGTCAGTCAGTTCATACTAACAAATCATGGAGGAACTGAAGGTCTAAGTGTATTCGTTCATCAGAACAGGTGTTCTTCCCAACCTTAATTTGGTTGGTTGGTACAAAAGTGTCAGTGGGGGTTTTTACCATCCTGTCCCCCATCACTTTAACCTGGTATAAGTGAGAGAGAAATTCTTTCATGAATCCTGACTCAATGAGAGGAGGAAAAGACCCATTGGAAATTATTGTGAGAGTTTGTTCCTACGGTGACCGGCCATGACATTAACTTCAAGTTAATGATAGTAATTATCATTATGATGATAATAATTTTTATTATTATTCAGGTTATAGAATCTCCCAGTGGGTTACTAGCCTTAGAGAGACAAGGTTCAATAGAATTCATACGAAAATTCAGGAAGACTTGAACTTTTGTTATTTGTTATTTCAGATTACATAGTTTTAATCAAAGGATACAAACACTCCAGGGGAATCCATGATTTCATAAATGCAGGTATTTCCCTTAAACGATGCATGTTAAGGAGGCTGACACTCACAGTGTGATTTGCCCTGAAATTTCTGGTTCTGGGTAGTGGTGGGGAAAGAGCTCCCCTAATTCACAGCACTTCATTCTAAGGCTGTCTCTATTTTCCCTTCTTCCTTGTGTCTTCCCCTTCCCCGAGCCAAATTTCCACTGTCACTAACAGGTGAATTTTCAAACCCCACTGGTGCATTAGAAAGTACGTGTTTGTTCCATAAAATGGCTCTTGGATATATTAGCTATGTTGATGCTATGTTGACACAATACCAGTGAGAATGTCAGGCTGAAGCCACAGAGAATGAATCTCCTACAGTGTTTGAGTTTCTCTACCACGGAGTTGTAAATGAGGCAGAGTTGCAAAGAAAACCAACAGGGCAATATCATACAAGAACTCTACTAACACCTGAAACATTTCAGTTGAAGGATGATTGTATCAAGGAGAAGTATTTGTTCCCCCTTGGGACTATACACAAACTCAAGACAGAGGGAGGAAGGGAAAGAAATGAAGGAAAGAATGGGAAAAGGGAAAGAACAGAAGGGAAAAATATAAACCATTCTTGATTGGAAACAATTTATAACTTCCAAACAAGTGCTCCAGTTGAAGAATTCAAAAGAAAATTGAGAGAGGGGAAAGGAGAGAGCCAGAGTCAGAGAGCCAGAGCCAGAGAGAGACAGAGAAAGGGTGCGAAGGAAAGAAACTCAACAATGGAAACCATTAATCAGCCAAGTTAAATTCTAAACCCTACATCACTGGGAATCTGGATATGTTCAAGAAGGAAATAAAAACCTAAAGGCCCTTCAGTCAGGTATACTTTCTTCCTTGTGTCTTTAAGTTGGAGAAAAGAGACAATTATTTCCTATTCAATCTAAGTTTAAAGGCTGTGACACCAGTAAATGTAGTGTAAGATTTCATGAATGCTATGCTCTGGGTAGACAGTATCTGCGTCACTGGAAAATATGTAAACCACATAGTTACCATAAGAACATGGCAGATATGTCTGAGCCTATAAATTTCCACAGAATAATGCTAACAATATGTTTAAACCAGAACAGATCACCATGTCTGATGACCTGGCAGAAGTGACCACCTTTGGAAGATTCAGGATGCCATCTATGCCAGAAAACATCTGTAGTCAACTTTAAACATAAAGGGACAATCAGGATTTCTGAACTAAAATGTCAAAAAGCACACACTCAGAATCATGGTTATCTATACACTAAAGAGAACAAAAATGGTGAGGAACATAAAGTGATCATCACAGTATGCATTTCCAATAGCACAATCATTGTGAGGATTGGCCAGGCACATGACCTTGAACTTAACCTTAACCTTCATTTTCTAACCTTACACCCTGAATCATAAGGGAACCACCAAATTAGAGTTTTTCAAACTGTGTGCTAAGGAACCACTGAATTCACCAGAAATGGGCTCAGTTAGACATTTTATACACAGGGCCAGACTTTAGGAGATTTTTTTTTCAAACTTTATCTGCCAATATGACTTATGAATACTGCTCTCCTGCCTTCTTACATCTCTAAATTACTATCATCTTTACCTTAAAGGTATATATTTATTCTTAAAGTCAGTGCCAGAAAGAAATAATAAACAGGTGAAAAGGGTACCATATTTAATGATGTGAATAGGTCATATTATGTATTCTTTTAATGTTCACAAAGAACTTTACATACAGTATCTCAGTTGACACTATTTGATTTGCTGTTGTACACATAAGAAGACAAAAAGGAAAGTAAGAAATTATTATAAATTAAAATATAATTTCTATGACCTTACTACTCTGACAATACCTATTCTTATGTTATTTCAAGATAAGCAAAAATATGCATCACCACCCTACCCTTACCTCGTAAGGTAATATTGATTTGTGCCTACAGACTCCTATAAATTCCATTTGCCTCCATCTGCCCAATGTGTGTGCTGGCTTACTAAATTTGCATTTAATCAAGGTTCTGGAAATCAGTGTTCATTTTTTTAAATGATTTCAATAAGCAATTCCTTAAAGCCTAGGTTGTGGCTTTACTCCTAGTTGACTTGGTGTTTCAGTAAGTGCTCCCTTGATTAGAAGACAGAGAGCCAGAGCTTATAGTGAGTTCACACTGTGGGAATTTGAACTATCAGTTCCTGTATCATTCTCCTGCCCCACAAGAAGTCACAGTGAGAGAATTAGACTATGCAACATGCGCAACTTACAGGAGAATAAATGTAGTGACATTCAGTGCTTAAGACTGAGCAGAATACCTCCCCTCACTTAAAAAAAAAAAGAGAGAAATGTTTTTGAGCAGCTTTTGTCTCTATCTGAATTTAATTTGGATAAAGAGCCAGAAAATGAACCATCAGCACCTTGAGTATTGACAGGAAATTTCACTAATCATTCCATCATCTATTCTACTGATATATTCAGTAAGCACACTTTCTGGCCAAGTGTCAGAAGTCCATTTTGTATTCTTGATCAAGAATATGGCTTAACCGGGATATAAATACTTCAACACTTTTGTTGATAGAAGATAACAAATCAGGCTAGCCAATCACTACCTCTCAGAGAGTTGGTGACAGCCCCAGGAGAGAGCCTCAAAGAGGCATTTTAGAATGAGGTAGAGAGTTATTCACACCTCAGTTAGCAGTGAGAACAGACTCTTTAAGAGGGAACAGCAGGAGAAATACAGACTTACTAGTGTCTGTGAGTGCTGGGCCAAACCATTTGTGGTATTCATGCCCATTTGTAATTGGGATTTCTTCTATATTTCCTGTAGCAATCTGTTCTGGGGAAAATATCAGGCTGAGTCACAGACTGGCCATGTTTTAAATTACTAACAATTACCTATTTGAATGCTGTTTCTTCCTCTCTCCCAGGGCTTTACCTCGTCTCTTGAATTTTATCTAGAGAAAATACAATGTATTTCTATATCACTAGAGGAGCCATAGGTTACAGGTTTCCTTCAGCTGAAGACCACAGTCTGCGAAGTCTACGTATGCAAGGTATTGAATGTTCTCTTGCTTACTTGTAGTGTAAAAAAGAGAATCTAACCTATCAGATTGGCCAATATGACAAAACAGGAAAATGATAAATGTTGGAGAAGATGTGGGAAAATTGGAACACTAATGCACTGTTGGTAGAGTTGTGAAATGATCCAACCATTTTGGAGAGCAATTTGGAACTATGCCCAAAGAGCTATAAAAATGTGCATACCCTTTGACCCAGCAATAGCACTTCTAGGGCTATATTCCAGAGAGATCATACAAATGGGAAAAGGACTCACATGTACAAAAATATTTATAGCAGCTCTTTTTGTGGTGGCAAAGAATTGGAAATTAAGAGGATGCCCATCAATTGGGGAATGGCTGAGCAAGTTGTGGTATATGAATGTAATGGAATATTATTGTGCTATAAGAAATGATGAACAGGCTGACTTCAGAAAAACCTGGAAAGACTTGTATGGTGTGATGCTGAATGAAGTGAGCAGAACCAGGAGAACGTTGTAACAGGAACAGCCACGTTGTGCAATGACTAATATTGAGAGACTTAACCCTTCTCAGAAATGCAAGGATCTAAAATATCTCCAAAGTCCTCATGATAGAAAATGTTATCTACATCCAAAGAAAGAACTATGGAGTTTGAATGCAGATCAAAGCATACTATTTGCTGTTTCTTTTCTTTTGTTGTGTTTTGTTTCCTCTTTCTGGTGGTTCCTCTTATTAGTTCTAATTCTTACTTACAACATCACTAATGTGAAAATATGTTTAATAGGAATGTATATGTATAGCCTATATCAAATTGCATGCCGTCTTGGGGAGGGAGGTGGGGAGGCAGGGGGAGAAAATTTTAAAGCTCAAAAGCTTATGGAAGTGAATGCTGATAATTCAAAATAAATTAAGATTTAAAACAATAAATGCTAAGTGAAATAAAAAAGAGAGAATCTAATTTTGTTCACTTTGCAAACTGCATCCTTCCAAAGAGGAATAGAGAGGGGAGAGAAGAGCAAAATAAGCTGAAACAGAAGAAGGAGTGGTACATCTGAATTATGCTTCTGCTCTTGAGCAAAGAGTACAAACACCACTACCACCACACGAATAGACTGCCCTCTTTATTCTTCTAGTTTCTTGGGAAGTACTAATAAAAAAAGCTCACATTGTTATACTGCTCAAAAGTTCACAACACACTTTCCTCACAACTTTGTGAGAAAACAACATTATTATCAAAATATTGAAAATATCATTATCCCCATTTTACTGATTAGGAAACTGGTTTGCCCATATTCACATAGTGAGCAAGTGATGGACTGGGGACTTAAAACAGATCTTCTGAGATTTCCCTCTATGGTGTGGTGCACGTGGGGTAGGGAAGAAGCAGGGGGCATCTACCCTTCCAGCCAGATCACCAACTGTGGAAATCAACAAGGTGATAGATCTATTAAGAGTTGTACTTTCAAAGAAATCTAGAAAGACCATTATGAAATAATACAAAATGAAAAAAGTCAAAGTAAAAATGAATGGGCAAAAAATTCTGATTTGTGGGGCCTTAGTGGGAATGACTGAAAAGCTCTATTTTATGCATTGAAATTAATTTAACTGTAAATAGTTGCTAAGCAAATTTAATCAGCTATACTGTTTAATATTGTTTTTAACAAATCATTTAATTAAAAAAATTTTTAAAACACTTTAAACCTAAAAAGAAAGAGTTGTACTTTGTTCTGGTAGACCTATATATAGGAGTAGTAAGTATGTTCAATTCTAGGTGCCACATATGAGGAAGGAATTTTTGGAAGCTAGAGAATGTCTAGAGAATGGCAAATAGAAGAGTCACAAGTCTCAAATATATGATCTACAAGGACTGTTGGAAAGAACTGAGGATATTTAACCTACAGAAGAAAGGGCTCATGAGTGACATGATCATTATCCTCAACTATATGAAGGAAATGGGAACGTTTGGTCTGAGAAGAGAAGGCTTCATAGGAACATGCTGGTTATTTTCAAGTATATGAAGAAATTGGAGATACTTGGAAAAAGAAATGCTCAAGGAGGACATGAAATTGCTTTCAAACTATCAGACAGAAAAGAGACTAGACGAGTTTTTTGGACCCAGAAGGTAGAACTGGGAGCAACTGATAGATGTTTCAGAGAAGCAGACTTGGGTTCACGTCAGGAAAAAATTCTTAACACCTAAAACTGTTCAAAAGTAGAATTGGCTGCTTGCAAGGTAGAGGATTCCTTCTCACTAGACTTCTTCATGCAAAAACTGAATAGATGGTATATTACAGTTTCTTCTCTAGGCAAAGAAAGGGACTAGATGGATGTGATCTCTACTAATTCTGTGTTTCTGTGACCATCCTTAAGTTGAACACTTGTGTGTTATGCTATGTTATGGCTTTTGTATCTCCAATTACCATAGCAACAAATTATTCCACATCAATACTCAAAATGCCTCACTGGGCAATGACTTAGCTTATGAGGACTTCTGCAGCAAGGAGCTTTAGTGAGTACCTTCTTTAATAACTACTTCAATGTTGAAAAGTTTCAAAACCGAAAAGTTTATCTAAATCCCAAGAAGAAAGTTGAATGAATGAATATTCTAGGATGGTGCCAAACACCACACAAAAAAGGAGAAGCACTCCAGCATTCTTGTTGACAGTTTTTGTAGAGTAAGTGATATTTTACAGACCAGCACTTAGAACAAATACAAGCTATTTAAGACACGTGTCATAAAATGTTCTTAGTGTTTATCTGGGTGAGAAAAGTTATGCTATTTATTGATAGTAATAGACTGCATTATGTAATTAGTAATAGACTGCATTATGCCACTGCAGTACATGGTATAGAAACAGTAAGGACTTAATTACAAAAACATACTTTGTACTAATAAAATTTCACCAAGAAGAAAGATAAGTGCACTGGTTTCCACCTCATATATTCGTAAGGCTAATCAGTTAGAACAGTTAATGGAATATGGTGTAGGAAATTTAAAAAGTGAGAACAGGACAAGCACCACACGATGCTAAGGTACCTTAAGTATTTCTCCTTCTTTCAAGTATTAGTCTCAATTTGCAATATTTTATCTCTGAACTCTACATCATTCTATGTCTGGGAATGTTTTTATGGTATAAATAAACAAAGGTCTTCCTCAATCATTACTGGGGGTACCACAATATTCTCAGGAGATGCCTGTAGTCACTATTGAATGTAATATTTACTAAATGGACATAATCCATGCGACCTGTCTAAAAAAGCCTATAAAAGTGGCAAAGAGAAACAGCTTCCAGAAGGAGCACTTGGGATAGTGCTAACATTTTACCATGAATGCTCAAACCATCTACTGAAACCCAACAGCTTTGAATATTACACAAAAGTCTATAAAAGCTCCAATAAGAAGTCATATCTTCTTAAAACAACTTGGAAATCCTAATCATATTTTCTACCACAAATGCTCTGGCATTGTTTCTGCGACAATAAGTCTTAAAATGAAAAGGAATTCATTGAAAACCCCTCACATGCTTTAGAAAAGCTTGTGTGAAATAATACCAAACTATTTCCTGACAAAAACATAAAAAATTCTATGATCTGTCTTTCCACATATGACAGAATGAGGGGAAAAACAAAAAACCAAATAGTTTTTGAGTCTTCAATATAAGAAGAATTATTATAAAAAGTGGGCCAGTCAAGAAAGAATTAATTTTTCTAATTTAGAAACATCCGCCTCACTTACTGACTTGCTAGAGAATTAAGCTATGCATAATGAATGCCTTTATTCACTCAGGAGTAAACCTCTAAGAGAATAAGAACAGTGGAAAAAAAACACCAAATAACACAAGAAAGCAAGATTGAGTGTCAACCTCCCATACACCATGAAATAGGACAACCTGTCTTCAAATCACAGGTGGGAAGGCAATGAAGTTTTCTAGTTCTCAAAGGAAACCAGGGAGACTAATGTAGGTGAATGGCTCCTCTACACGGAACACTCTCCTGTCAAATTATATTTTTTTTCCTCTCGTGTTCAATGGGCATGTGAGTCTTCAAAAAAAAAAATCCTAAGATGGTATCTGATGACAAGTCACCACCTTGCTGAAAGCCGACAGCCCTGTCACCTTATCTATTTCTTCTCTCTTTTCTGTCTCTTCTCATTGGCAAATGTATTATAGGGTTCTAGGGCCATCAACTAGTTAGCTGAGGGTCAAATTGCAATGGATGGATGGAAGCAGAGGTTGAGAGACAAACACAATGGGAAGAATGGAGAGGGGCAACCTTTACCTCTATCTTTAAAACTGAGATATGGATCAGGGACTTAATATACATAACTGTATTCTACCAGTGTCTCATCAGCCTGACATAGTTGGTTAAGGCACTAGACTTGATCTCTTGAAGATCTGGGTTCAAGTGCAACTTCAACCACTTATTGGCATAAGGATCCTGGGCAAGTCACATAACTATTTTGTAATTCATTTTCCTTCCTTTTTTTTTTGTGAGGCAGTTGGGGTTAAGTGACTTGCCCAGTCATTTTCCTCACTTTTAAAATGAGAAAGATGGAATCGATATACTCCAAGGTCTCTGCAAGTTCTAGATCTATGATTTCTATTACTTGTACATGATTCAATTGAAATATGTTTATAGGAGGGAGGGGTCAGGAGGAGATATGGCATGGTATTATTGATGAGGTTAAAACTTTGGTCTATAAACATCAGTTTTCTTATGATACAATCAGGAGGTTCGTATTTTCCTTTGGCCTGAGAGCTTCAGATTGACTAGGTTTTTTGGTTTCTTTCTTTCTTTCTTTCTTTTTTGGTTTCTGCCAAACATGCTTTCTTGTGATCTGTAAAATTTACTAATTTACAAGGCTTTAAAAGCCTAAGTGGTTTGATGTTCATAACTGAGTCCAGCCTTCCAACAGATGTCTGACCATAGAATAATGGAACTGATAGGAAATCAGAGAAATGTGGTTGAATGGGTTGTGAATTTTCAAGGTTTTTTTTCTGTTTTTCAAGTATAAGTTGTTGTGTGTTCTCCAACTCTGAATAAAGAGTTGTAAAATAAAAAATGGGAGAATTATACAGAAAAGCTCAATGAATTGAGAGTCAGAAGACAATCAGCTATGTTACCTTCAGTAAATCATTTCAATTTTCTGGTCCTTAGTTTCATTGTCTATAAAATGGAAAAACTGGATCAAATGATCTTTAAGATCCTTTTAGCTCTATGATTCTGTAATTCGTTCATTCCAAGCACAACAAAGTTGAGTTGAGTATTTTCTGAATTTTATGTTTCTGTACTGGACAATGATTTCTCTACTACTTCTTCCTCTTTCTGCCTTTTGAAAGTAGTGCTCACCGAAACGAAAGTAAAACAGAGGCCGGGTTCCCGCGGTGCTGGCCGCCCGGTCTCTGGCCGCTGCTTCCCGGATGTCACACACCCCGATGTTGGCAGAACGGAGCATCCTTCTTGTGGGTCCTTCACTGTGCTGCAGTCTACACCGTACTGCGGCAGCTCCATTCGCTGCTGTAACAAGTTGAAAAAAAACTAATTAATTCAAATTTTAGTTTTTTTTAAATTTGTTACAGCAGTGAGTGGAGCTCCCGCCCCCATGCAGAACAGCACACACAACAAACAAGGGACCACACGACACAGCCCAGGCGCTTTCCACCATCAGTGCCCGGCCAACATTGGGGTCAATTATGTTCTTTGCAAAGCTGCGGCTTGAGAACTATCTTCTTGGGAAACGCCTCTGTTTCACTTTTGTTTTGCAATGCACAGATGAAAAAACAACCACAAGGACAACACACAACCAAGCCATCCCCAGCCTTCTTCCAAAATACAGAAGATTCCACTTCCTTGAAACAGTTCAGCAAGTGGCATGGTTATTTAGAAGGTCAGCATTGGCTATGATTCTGTTGGAAGGAGGAGAGAAAACACAACAAACCATGGGTTTCCATCACTTGTCTCCTTACGATTGACTTGAGTGATCTACACATGAAGGGTTCAGGCAAGCCCAACTTTTTTTTGGTCATGAGTGCTCTGATGAAGGAGCGCCTCCAACCTCTTTCATTTTAGATCCAGGAAGCAGCAACATCCATCCTACTCTTCCTTCAGCTAACTAAAGCCTGAGAAAGACAATCTAATTTCCAGGAATGTCTCCCATGAGGAATTAGGAGGCAAGGGGAGTTCTGTCCAAATGAGTCAATGCTCTATCGTTCCTAAGTAACCCTTCCATATTATTCTTGGGGAAATTGCTTTGGTTAATCACTACAAAAAAAAGAAAAGAAAAGAAAAGAAACAATGCATTATGTTCCAACCCATTTTTTTATGTTTGTTATTTTAAAGCTAAAGGAAGGAAAAAGAAATAGACTAAAAAATAAAATAAACCTACAAAACTAAAATGAAGTTTACAAAGGCAGCGGAGACTCGGCATACAAATAAGCTCTCTTTGAGCACACTTTGCCATTATGTGGTGGTAGGATGCCACCAGATACATCAAGGTTAGCTACAGTAATTATTCTCAAGCTAAAAGAAGTTAGTGGAATGCTTCATTGCGTGTGTATGTGTGTCTCTCTGTGTATATGTTCTCTAGCAGAACTTCAAAGCAATGCTTTATAGACTGAAATTTACAGAATAACATGAAAAAACAGCTTATAAGATCAGTACCTCTTCAACTTCACAGTATAGGAGTTCCTATTTTTTCCTTAGGAAAACAGACAATTCTTAATTGAGTTCACTTTAACAGCACCTAGTAATAGAAAGCCCTCAAGGTCACCCTTAGACTACACACAGGACTGCCTGAGAGCTGAGACATCAACACTCCATTCCAACATTGGCCTCCTTTTTCCTGGAATTTACTAAGGCTCAGGCAAAGACTGACATCACCCAAGTGCAAAAAAGACAACATTAACTAACAAATCTGAGAAGGTTGGAATGAGGTAGATGCTGTACACGTGAGGAGAATAAATAAAAAATATTTTACATAAGCCACAATTTAAAACACAGCAAGCCCTTCTCTGAGATTTCATAATCACAGACAGTATTTTGTAGTCTTATTTCCAGGTAGAAATCTTTAGAGAGAGAGAGAGTAAGAGAGAGAAAGTGTTTTAAAATCCTAACTGGTCTTCATTTTTGTATAGGAATGGGGCTTTCAAAAATAATTATTACATTATTTGCCATCACTACATGAATGATTCGTTAAATCAAGTATCCAAGTGATTAGGGTATGTATAAAGACACAAAGAAAAGTGCTATTTACATACAAGAAGTATATGATATTAGTGTTGACTCTGCATCAAAAATGTTCTCTGGTCTCAAATGATCCATCTTATCTGCCTGTGCCTAATGTGATTAGTTCTCAAGACCCACAGAACTTTTAGATTTTATAGGACCAGTCAAGATTTACATACCTGGAGGTTGTGGCAGATAGGCCCCAATTAATTTTGACCTCTTCTTTTCATAACCTTTCTGTGTGATGTCACCTGTGAGGAAAGAAAAAGAATATTCAGTAAGTCTTACATGATACGAGCTCCCCAGCTGCACAATGTCTGTACGTAGAGTCACTATTGCCTATCCAGCACCATCTGTTAGTCTTGACAGTGATAATAAACTCATCAAGGCACAGTATGATCATTCCTCTCTGTGTCCTCCTTCTCCTCCCTCAGCAAAAACAAAGGAAACCCCCTAAGCCCACCTAATGCATGTTAGAGTCATGTGAGTAAGTAACCCTCCCATCTTGATTGAGCCCCCTAGAGCAGCACAATCTAAAAGCCTTCAATCTTATTCCAATCTGCTGTCACAAAGCTTTCAAACCCAGTACTGGGCTTTCATTAACTTAATCAACAATGGATTATGCAGACTGCTTAGGCCTGTGATGACTGGCAAAACACATTACCGATTAGCATCTTCTTTCGTTAATGGGATTTTTCTAAGGAGGTCACAAAGATTTTAAACTGCTGCTATGTTACTTCGATAATATAACTAAGAACAAAGATGATGTTTTCAGAAAATCTAAGCGTTCTACCCCTTAAAAGACATCAAGAATATAAACCAAAACATATTAGCAAAGTGCTCAGCCTTGATATTAAAAATACGATTTTTTTAACCTAACAGTCAAATATGCAGACAGAAAACAAATGCGTTTACATCTTCCTCTAAACAAAAAACTATCAATTATTTTCAGATAAAATAAATCCATAAGGACATTCAGCATCTTTTCCCTGTTTCAAGCTTTCTTTCATAAGTTGTCAGGAATTTGTTCTTGAATTCTATTTTAAGTTTTCAAAGTGAATTTATTTTCTGTTTTCTTTTCAAAATTATGATTCCTAGACGTGCTAATTCTGCCCTATCATGACTCTTACATCAAAGGTAATTTTTTTTGTGTGATATCCAAAGGATATCATAGGAAAAACATACATACATACATACATAGATTTAAAACTAAAAGAAAGGCTAAGCAATTGTCATGAAGCAAAAAAATTAACACAAAAAACCCCAAAACTACAAACTTAACCATTAGCAGTTAACTCTTGGCCAGGCCTTATTTTCCTCCCTCTCCCTTCCTCCCCACCCTCATTATTGTCCTTCCAAATCACCACATCTGAAATATTAGAGGGAAGAGGAAAATATTTTGCACTGAGAGAATATGTGGGAAAAAAAGAGTCTGTAAAAGTTGTAGGATTCCAAAATCTTGGTGTTTCCTAATGTTAGTAATAAACAGTCACCTTCACATTAGCCTTTAGGTTTTCCATTTAGCCTGGGCTTGAGACTTTATGAAAGTTAGAGTAATATGGTGCTCATTGGCTAAATGGAACCAAAGGCTACTGTTCTGCATGAGGGAATGGCATATGAAAATGAAATCCCAGAAGGGATATAGGAAGATAAGAGTCAGTGATGACACTCCCCATCTTGGCATCCACAGAAACTTGGAAAGTTTAGCCCTCCTTGGGAGGTCCTGGACAGGGCAGCTGCTCCAAACTACCCTTTGAGTGGTTGATTCATTTTCCTTCATATTGTTGGGTTTTTTCCCTATCGATAATCTTAAGGCAATGTTTTCTTTAAAATACTGTTCAGGAGGCTAGTTTTCTCAAAGGGGATATTAGTGCTTTTATCCATTCTGGCTCAATATTTAGCATTTTAAAAAATCACATGCAGTTCAGCAAAACTAATAAATACATCGATCCACTCCAACAGTGTATGCAGTATTCTACATCCGATGCTCTACCTCTGCAGTGTAAGTTTAGTCATTACAGTAATTCAATTTTATGTTGCTCTTTTCATTCACATTGCTATAGTGATTGTACAAATTGTTTTCCTGGTTTTGATTACTTCATCTGGCATCAGTTCATATAAGTCTTTCCTAACTCCCTATCTATCTTCTTCATTTCTCAGGGCACGGTAGTATTCTAGTACTTTGTTATAAAAGAAAGTTAAGGGAAAGGGGATAGGAAATACTGAGAAACAAAGGTAATATGGAAAGAAAAGAAAATAATAAAAAAATTTTAAGGAAAAAGAGAAATTAAAAAAGTCTCAATGTAGTTTGACAAAAAATAACACAAATTTTAATAAATAAAAAAAATTTAAAAAGAGTCTTCAGTATAGCTTCCTCCCCCTACTATTTGGGAGAATGATGATTTTTTTTTTTTAAAGGAACACAAAGAGAAAAGAGTAAGATTCGCTTGTGAGTAAACAAATAACATATTTTAATGTCCTGACAAGATGCCGCGTTATCACCAGATAAACATCCGTAGGGAGTTTTCTTTCCACCCTCACTCAGGAGTTCATGGCCTAGTTCTTGGTTTCAGGCATTTCTTTGAGAAGGGTCTATGTTGAAACTCAAACCCTGGAAAAAATTCTCTCTTCATTTTACAATCTGTCTCAAATCCCAAATGTGGCCCAAATTTCACAAATTTTTCAACTGGCTGCTTGAAATACATTGAGAGAGAAAGAGTCCTTCCCACCCTCCCGAGTTCAAACCAGGAAAAACTCTAACACCCAAAGGAGCTGAAATTTAAATTCAGAAGCATGTGAAACACAACAGGCAAGAGAACAAATAATTAAGAGTTAAAACCTAAAGGATGGGGAAATCATGGGCAGGGACCTCCACATCTCAAAATAACTCCAGTTTCTGTTTTTGTTTTTGTTTTTTTTCCTTAAAGGGAAGAAAAAATCCCATCTAGCCAACGATGTTAAATGCCTCAGCTCTTTGTTCCATAATGCATTAAGAAGGGAAAGAAGAAGGAGGATTGCGGGGGGCTGCACTTGTCCAGGAAGTGAATTCTTTCCACATTTATTTTTCCTCAATTGTCTTCTCTGAGATGACCTTAAGAATCCTGATTTGCTGAGGAAATATGTTTAATATGATTGTACATGTATAGCCTGTATCAGATTGTATGCCATCTTGGGGAAAGGGGGAGGAAAGGAAGTGGGAAAAAATTTAGAACTCAAAATCTTATAAAAGTGAAGGTTGAAAATGAAAAATTAATTAGTTTTAAAAACAAAAGAATCCTAATTTGCGTATGTTCTTGCCACACAAAGAGAGTGCTCCCCCTCCCCACAAACTGGTAAAATACCATCCCTCATCCTTCAAGGCCAAGTTCACATAAAGACTTCTCCCACTCTCCCTGGCTCCTCCTTCAAGTTCTACACCACTTAGTTAATGTACCACTCACCCAGCAATTATCATAGATTTCCTTGTATTTTTAGTTATCTTTTTACCTGTATATGACATCTAAGTTCTTTCAGGACTGACTCTTCTGCTTCTTTGTTTCCTCTCCTCCTATGATAATCTTGCAAGGGTCTTGCAACACAGTGTTGTAATCAATAAATATATGTTAAATAATTTATCCAAGACCCAGAGAGTAGACATAGTCACCATTTGCCTTCTGAGTAATTGAGGACACTTATTTTATTTATGTAGAACTTCCACGCTTCATTATGGTTTTATTTCTTTAATATTTTAACTTTATGGAATTATATATGCATATTTAATACATACATGTGCATGTGTACATATAATATCAATGCATTATTCTAGAGAGGCAGCATGTCAGCAGTGAAGCTGGTAATGAAGCCAAGACCACTCGCCTTTAAAAGAGCTGCTTCTTAGATTGAAGAGGAAGAGCAAGTTGTACATAAGAGATATGCAGTTCGATGTGCAATCATCTTTTTTGTTATACTGTGATAAGGAAATGCTTGTTTTATTCCATAAATTTAAAAAATAAAGATAATTTTTTTAAAAAAGGACTTCTGACACACATTTGCTGGGTGACCTTCAAGGACCACTCTTTGAGCCATTAGTAGTTGTTGCAAGAATAATTCACACACACATACATATCATATACATTTTATATGTTTTATTAGTGTTTTATATATAATCTCATGTATGAGATATGTATATCTCATATATCTCACACACACACACACACATATATATACATATAATTTGAACTATACAACTATCCTGTGAGATAGGTATTATTATCCCACTTTGCAGATGAAGCATAGTCAGACAACTTGAAGCTGTAGATACAGCTGGACCTCCTTTCATTAGTGAAATCATTGGTCAGGAAACACATCAAAAAACCACCCACTATTATATTTTATTAGTTATATTAGATAGACCACGTTAAAATACAGGGTGTCCCAAAAGTCTCAACGCAGTTATAAAAGCTTTAATAATTTCAGAAATATAAATGCTACAAACGTGCAAAAAGTTAACCTTTCAAAAGTGAATTATTTATATTTTTAAAATATTGATGTATTTCTTATTAAAAATAAAACCACCATCTTGTGCTATACATAATTCTTTCTAACTTTATAAAAACTTTCATCAGCTGCTGCTCAGGAACAGAAGGGATTACATTTGTAACCTTAGCTGTAAGATCATCCAAAGGACTAGGTTTTGGTATATACACAACAATTTTCACATGACCCCACAAGAAAAAGTCTAATGGAGATAGATCAAATGACAGTGAAAGCCAAATAAGAGGAACTCAGGTCCTGAGAAAATATCATCCAGAAACTATTGCACGAAAATTCATAATGACAAGAGGCCTTAGTGGTTAAAATTAAAATTAAAAATTAATTATTTTAAACTCACAAGACTAAATATCAAAGAAATGAAAATAATTAAACTTTCAAATTATGGTTTTGTAAGTTTGCAGCATTTGTATTTGAAATTATTAAAGCTTAAAACTTTACTAAGACTTTTGGGACACTCTACATTTTGTTTATTTAAAATATTGTGCTGAGAGTCAACATGGCTTAATGGTTATGTTTTTTTTTGGTGCCTCTTTCTGTACATTTGTGTGCTCTATTAGAATGTAAGCTCCTTAAGGATAGTGATTTCTGTATCCTACCACGAAACTTACTCATAGCAAGCACTTAATAAATGCTAATTGATTGACCGATTGACCATAACACTGGACTTGGTTAGAGTCAGGAAGATGTGGACTTAAATCCCCCTTCTGAAACTTCGGAG